GCTCTCTTGAAGGCGGGGAGGAGTCTTGGGTGTTAGACTCCGGAGCTTCTTTTCATGCTACCTCACGGAAGGAACTGTTGAAGAATTATGTTCCCGGAAACCTTGGTAAGGTTTACCTTGGTAATGAACAGTCATGTGAGATTGTAGGCAAAGGTGCGAGTAAGGATTAAGCTGAATGGGTCCGTATGGGAATTGAAAAATGTCGGACATATTCCCGACCCGACAAAGAGCTTAATCTCGTAGGTCGGTTAGCTAGTGAAGGCTATACGACAATCTTCCATGGTGATGAATGGAAGATCTCAAAAGGTGCGATGACGATTGCTCGAGGCAAAAAGAGTGGAACTCTCTACAAGATCGTAGGAGCATGTCATTTGATTGCAAGTTGCAAGCAAATGAAAATTCCAACATATGGCACCAAAGACTTGGACATATGAGTGAGAAAGGAATGAAGGTCATGCACTCGAGAGGAAAATTACCAGGTCTTCGATCAGTAGATATTGACATGTGTGAAGACTGCATACTTGGAAAGCGAAGAGAGTCGGCTTTCGGACAAGTAAAAGAACCCCAAAGAAAGAGAAGCTTGAGCTCATCTACTCGATGTTTGGGGTCCAACGACTGTCTCATCCGTTGGTGGGAAGCATTACTTCGTGACTTTCATTGATGATCACTCCGTAAAGGTATGGGTTTACTTTCCGAAATATAAGTCGAAGTATTTGAAGCTTTCAAGATATGGAAAGCTATGGTGGAAAATGAGACAGGATTAAAGATTAAGAAGCTCAGATCCGACAATGGTGGTGAATATGTAGACACCAAATTCAAGAAGTTTTGCTATGAGCACGGAATCAGAATGGAGAGAACCGTGTCGGGTACGCCTCAACACAATGGTGTAGCTGAGCGTATGAATCGAACGTTGATCGAAAGGGCCGGAAGCATGCGTGTGCAGATCAGGCTTACCAAAGCGGTTTTGGGCAGAAGCGTTAACACAGCGAGCTTACTTGATCAACCGAAGTCCATCGGTACCATTGGAACACAAGATACCGGAAGAGGTATGGAGCGGAAAAGAGGTAAAACTCTCACATCTTAGAGTTTTTGGTCGTGTAGCATATGCGCATATCGGTGATCAAGGCGAAACAAACTTGATCCAAAATCAAAGAAATGTACTTTCCTTGGTTATGGTGAAGATGAGTTTGGCTACCGCATATGGGACGATGAAAACAAAAAGATGATCCGCAGCAGAGACGTAATCTTCAATGAAAGAGTGATGTACAAGGACAAGCATAATACAGGTGCCAAGCAACTCGAAGCGAGTGGGCCAGTTTATGCAGAGGTGGAAGATATCCCAGAAAGTCCTATAATGAGGAGTCCTCGACCGGAGGAATTAGTTGAAGAACTTGATGTGCAAGCGGAACCTCCTACTCCAACTCCCGTATTGAGAAGGTCTTCTCGGCCTCATGTGCCTAACAGGAGATACATGGACTATATGTTGTTGATCGATGGAGGGAGCCCGAAGATTATACGGAAGCTTGTCAAGCCACGGATGCTAGCAAGTGGGAGCTTGCCATGAAAGACGAGATGAAGTCTTTAATCTCAAATCGGACATGGGAACTAGTCAAGTTACCTATGGGAAAGAAAGCACTTCACAACAAATGGGTGTATCGAGTGAAGGAAGACCATGATGGTTCTAAGAGATACAAAGCTCGACTGGTCGTCAAAGGATTTCAGCAGAAAGAAGGAGTCGACTACACTGAAATCTTTGCTCCAGCTTGTAAAGCTCAATACTATCGAGATCGTGTTAAGTATTGTGGCTAGTGAGGAGCTCTACCTAGAGCAATTAGATGTGAAGACCGCATTTCTTCATGGAGATTTAGATGAGGAGATCTACATGCACCAGCCTGAAGGTTTTTCGAAGGAAAGAAGAACTTGGTGTGCAGATTGAAAAAGAGCTTGTATGGCCTGAAACAAGCTCCAAGACAAGTGGTATAAGAAGTTCGAAAGCTTCATGCACAAGGAGAGTTTCCGAAGTGCAACGCTGATCACCGTTGTTTCTTCAAAAGGTATAAGTCCAGTTATATCATTTTGCTACTTTATGTTGATGATATGCTAGTAACGAGGTTCAGATATGAATGAGATCATAAACTTAAAGAAGCAGTTGTCAAAAGAATTTGACATGAAGGACTTAGGCCCAAGCAAAGAAGATTCTTGGAATGCAAATCACGAGAGATAAGCAAAAAGGAGTTTTGCGAGTTATCTCAAGCGGAGTACATCAACCGTGTTTTGCAGAGATTCAACATGGACAATGCCAAACCAGTCAATACACCTTTGGCTTGCCATTTTCGTCTATCCAAGGATCAGTCTCCTCAAACGAAGGAAGAAGAAGAGTTAATGGCTAAGATTCCGTATGCTTCAGACCATTGGAAGTTTGATGTACGCGATGGTCTGTACGAGGCCGGACATTGGCCATGCAGTGGGAGTTGTAAGCGGATTCATGTCAAATCCAGGAAAAGCTTATTGGGAAGCGATCAAATGGATTCCGAGGTATCTACGAGGCACAACAGAAAAATGTCCGTATTTTAGAAAAGGAGATCTAAAATTGCAGGGCTACGTAGATGCGGACTTTGGAGGTGAAGTTGATCACCGAAGAAGCACCACTGGGTATGTGTTTACTTGTTGGAACTACAGACTGTTAGTTGGATGTCACGGATACGGAAGATTGTTACTTTATCCACTACAGAGGCTGAGTATGTAGCAGTGACGAAGCCAGTAAAGAATTGATATGGCTTCAAGGATTGTTGGCAGAGTTGGGATTCATTCAAGAAAGGAGTGTTTTGCACGGTGATAGTCGAGTGCAATACATCCGGCAAAAAATTCAGCATTTCACTCCGAACCAAACACATCGACATACGTTATCATTTCATCGGATCTCTACTTGAGGATGAGATGCTAACATTGAAGAAAATTGTGGGAAGTAAGAACCCAAGCAGATATGCTAACAAAGGTGGTGACTATTGACAAACTGAAGTTATGCTCAACTTCGGTTAGCTTACAAGGATAACAGACAAGAGAAGACTACTATTGATCAAGGTGTGAGGACAAATTGAAATCGGTCCTCAAGTGGGAGATTGTTGGTCAAAGAAAGTGGGCAAGGGTGGCTGCAATTGGTCAAAGAAAGTGGGCAAGGGTGGCTGCCAAATTTTTTATGTAACCATGAGGTGCTCATGGGACATATTTTAATGTAATGCATAGTGCCAATTTTTTGCTATAAATTGGTCTTCTTCCTACAAGCAAGAGTATCCCATCCCACACAAAATACTACTTCTCTTAGAGAAGAAAGAGTGGCACCAGTGAGAGGCAGAAAAACAAGAGAGTTTTAGTTTAGCTTCTGGGTGTAATTGGGTTGTGAGTTGTGAGTGCTTTGAGAGTGTTTTGTAAACACTTGTGTATTTTCTTTTCTCCCAGAAAGAGATCTGTAGTAGTCCGGAGACGTAGGCATTATTGGCCGAACTCCGTTATCAACTTGTGTGTGCAATTATTCCGCTTTTATTTCACTTTCACAGATCTGACCATATGGGAAGATTCAGCATATTTTTCCCAACAGATTTTGATCCAAATGAGAAGATTACGAGATTCTTAATTATTATTTATCTTTCTTATTGTGAGTAGTAGTTCTGTAGCAAGCAAACATCAATGGCGCATGTGATTATCAATATAACCCATTCTTATAGTTATTCGTGCGTGTAAACCAGAAACCAATGCCAATGTCTACATTAGAGTATACTTGTATTACATATTAATTATATTAAATGTTATGAATCATTATTAATAATTGTTAGAACAGATCAATAACAGAAGTTAAAATAAGAAAATAAACTTTGACTACGCAGATATCTGATGTGTCAAACTAAATTACAACTTCCCAGTAAATTGCCCATACTTCATTCTGAAATATAATTTTCTTATGCATGTGAAAAGATAAAGTCACCCGTGAAATTCAGGTTAGTTTCATGTATTTGGCTTATAAAGTTTATTAATACTGTTGTTATACTGATCAAATATTTTTGGGAACACAGTACTTTTGATTAAAATTCAAGATTTGAATTGGTAAACAGATACTTTTGAATATTAACTATCCAGAAATTTAAACTCAAAGCACATGTTGAAGAGATAAACGTACTAATCAATCATGTAATGGTGATAGTCTGTTAATAGATTTTTCAAGTCTATTTTTGTGATAAAAGGTTATTTTATAATGTAACTTTCTGTGGGAGAAAATTGACATGTTCATTATATGGTGAAGGGAATGCATGACACGACTTTTCATCCTACTTCTGTGCTAACTGCTAGTATGTGTCTCTTTCAGTCCAAAATTATTAGTACAGAACTGTTGCTGATGGTAATCAATATTGAGAGTTATTTCACCAATGATGCTAATTCTGCCCCTCAACTTGTTATCTTAAGGCCAATCAGGTGCAAGTGATCCTGACATATGAACTTGTCCTGATTGTGAAAATATTAATTGTAAGGTTCCTCTTGTGCAGTGAGTACACAAATAAACTATTCAGCCTAAGCAGACATAATCACATGCCAACCAATTAACACCAAGCCCAGGCACTACCCTTTTGTATTTTATTGCTCATTTTGGTATAAAGAAACAACACATTACATTTTCATATGATCTTAGACTCCTATTTTTGAGAAAAAGATTTCTCATTTCAATCACGACGCCCAAAACCATCGATGCTGGCGATGCTTCTTCTTTCTCAAGTAACAATAATGATAATATTACAATTTACAACATGACATGCACTTCTTTTCTTTTCCCCAACCACCCTGAACTTCAATCTTACTCACTTTGCTTAGTTTCCAATAATAAAATGAACCTTTCTCCTTTACTCTATATTTTCATTTTTCCTTGCTGGGCAAGCAACTTGTTACCATATCTTTCCAATTTGTAATGATTATTGTTTGATAAGCAAAAGCACCACAAGAAGAACATCATCATATCACTGCTGTTTATCATCTTCCCACTCATTTTCAGCAGCAATTTTTCCGGAGCTGCGGCCACCCATCTTTCCAAATGAGTTTACACTTGATAAGCCCTTGATGCTGCTGCTGCCACCCTCGTTCATGTTTCGCGTTTTCCTTGACTTGCTAGGCTTGGAAGAAGTGATGTCAACACCATCTTGATCAATGTCATGAGGGATTTCTTTTTTCACAACCACCAATCTTGCTATGCTGCTTCTGCAGAATGGACAAACTGGTGGGATAATACGAGAAGTAGAAGGGTTAAGCTTGTTGTGACAACACAGGGCTAGTGTGCATTGTGCACACATCTGGTGACCACAGTCTTGCACCTCAATTGTGCATACTTGCTCAAAGCAGATGCAACATAATTCTGTCTCACTAACCTGAATCATCAAAATTAAATTAGAATGCTGCTTTATCTTACAAAACAAAAATTCAAATAATTAGACTTCTGTACGTATATTTCCCTAATTCAACCTACACATGTATAAAAACAATAGCAAAAAGCAATGTAGTTAGTGTGAATTCAAAGGGTGTCTAATTACCTCAGAAATATTGTCATCTATCCCATCACAGTGTGCTGGAGATGGGACACTGTAATCACTCCCTTTCAATATGTTTTTCTCCCTTTCCCTGTTTGCGTCCATCAGGGCCCGCTCTAATAATTCTTTGGCTTCTGGATTAAGCTCACTGATCACCTTCAAAGATGATGGCCACACAAGAGGCTCAGCAGAAGAAAGATTCAGCAATGCTGCACATGCGTTGTGCCTATGTTTCAGAGCAACTACATAAGGTATCCGCCTGCATAAACACAACACAGTGTGAACGCAAATTCAGAAAGATAATCTTAAAGTATTGTTAGTTAAATTTTAATCAAGAACACATGTTGCTAGACAAGGTAAGTAGTTCCTTAAACTGAAAAGTTCTCCATGACCATAGATAAAACAAGAAGAATTCAATTAAAAGAAACGGTTAGTTAGTAAAGGTTTTTTCCACTACCAACCAATCCAAGATGCCATATCATTAGGAATCAATAACTTAACTTATATGATGATTGCTTTTGGTGTTATGTTATTAGTGAGAGTTATCAAAATTAAACTCAAACAATAAATTGGATTAATACAAGAGAAGACCCCACCAAAACAATTCTCAAATTAAGAGTAAGATGAATCAATTTGTTTGTATTGCAGTAACTAAAAGTTGTACTGTACCCAGAGGCATCACGTTGAAGGCGATCTGCACCCCATGCCAACAGTTCCCTAATGCAATCCAAGGATCCTCCTTTGGCTGCAAGATGAAGAGGAGTGCTCCCAGGACAGCTGCATATAGCGATTCATTATTCCACAAAACAAATGAATAATTATTACATCAAATTGAAGTCTATCACAATCACAACTTACCCATATCTTCCTGTTGAAGCAGAAACAAGAGCTCCACTGTACAATAGAATATGCACACATCCAGGCCGTCTTTGACGGGCTGCCAAGTGCAATGGTGTTGCACCCCTTCCATCTCTAATATTCACAAACCGAGAAAACCCCCTACAAACAATTCAATTATTTTCTTCTTTAAATATTTAAAAACCAACATGAATCAAGCCATTAATCAACTAAAGGGTGTGCTAAAACAGAAAAGAGGACCAACCAAGATGCAGCCACAGGACTAGATTGAGCAGCAGAGAGAATTGCCTTGAGGCAAGAAGAATGGCCATAGTAAGCTGCATAGTGCAAACAGGTCCTTCCATAACACGCATCAAACATTAATACCTGGAATTTTTTAAACTTGAATTTGAGAAAACATATACATTCTAGTGATAGAAGCAGTTCTCGGAATTTTATTGGAAAAAGCATCACAAGAAAATTTCAAATTTAAAACTTCTCATACATTAGCACCAGCTTCAAGGAGCTTTTCCACACAGGCGATCTTCCCGTGCATTGCAGCCAACATAAGCGGTGTCTGAATCGTTCCAAACGCAATCAATATTAGTAAAGGAACATTTTCAAGTGGAACAAGGATTTTTTTTAAAAATCCCACATTCAACCGAAGCCAACAAGTTACCTGCTTTTGGCGATTCAACGCATCTGGATTCACAGATCCATCCAAAAGCAAAGATAAAACCTGCAGGAAATGCCACAAAAGCAGAAAGAAGAAAACAAAATAAGCAGAGAGAGACGGGCAGAAATGAAAGCGAATACCCAATTGAGGAAGTGCGGGTGAAGAAATGGAAAAAAGGGAAAAAGGGCACCTGGATCTGGCCATTAGCAGCGGCAATATGAAGAGGGGAGTGGTGATCATAGACAGTGGTGTGGTTCATGAGAGAAGGGTGTGTGTGTAACAAAGCTGCGACAGTGTCTAGGTCCCCATGCTGCACAGCACGGAATAGGCCATGCTCATGGCTCCCTCTGCAACTCAGCCCCTGACCCATCACTTTCTCTACCACCTCACCTCTCCTCTCCTCTCTTCCCTGACTGCGCCACCTTGATTGATTCCTCCACGTTTTCAATTCTACCTTTGTCTCCACATTTATTGAGTTGGAGTTCGGGCAAAATGGCCAGGTCGAGAAACAAAGAAAGAGAAATAGAAAGAGAAAGAGAGAAGGGTAGCTATGTGTGTCAGTGATGAGCAGTTACTGAGACTGACATGGCTGTGGCATCAGACAGATTCCCGCAAAAGGGTAGGCTCCATCATCCCCAAACTCTGAAACTAATATCCACCTTTTGTTCCTCCAATCCAACGCTTCACGTTCAAACTTGAAACGCACTCTTACAAACTCGTTAATAAGTCATGTCAGTAACGTATTTGAATGTAATGTAGCATTGTAACTCCGGTTTATTATTGACTAGTATACACGTCAAAAAGACGACCTTGAACTACGAGTCTCCATTTGGACTATATCTCGCACTCTCCATTTTTATTTTGACTGCAACTCTCATGCCTCGCTTCTATTAGAAAATTCTTCATCTCATCATCCACTTTCAGTCAAAACAGTAACCTTCTTTCCTTCACCATTTCTCGTTCCTATGTCTGCGCTAAACCTTTCAATTTCACCTTCTCTTTCTGTAAACCATTCTCGTCTATTTCAGATAATTCTGCTAAAAATCATAAATAAACCCTAAAGAAATGAAATTTATCCAATTATAACTATCAAATCAGTAATTTTACTTTATGTATAAAAACATTTGACAGCTTCGACTGTGACATCCACCCAAAGATCCTAATCTTTTCCTCCTGCTACGATTGGTACAATCCGACAGAAAAATACATGGATTTTCTGGAAACAGTTTTTCTATTTTCAGAAGAGACTGGTAAAATCAATAATAATAAAAATGTGGAGAGAGTGCGTAGAAAAAAAAATGTGAAAATTTGTAACTCTAAAAAACCATGCATTTTATTTTGCTGATTTTCAGAATGCTTCTCTACTAGTGAATCGTGATATGTACAGGAAACAAAAAGATACCACTGGCTCTCTACTTTGGATTCGCACCATGTGCCATGTTGCATTTAAATCAAGTTACTGTTATTATTGTTTTATTAAATGTTTTCATGATTTACTTATTTAAATACATATTTTTTAATATATATTAAATCTGTTTCGATTAATTTGCTGAGAATAATTATAATAATTCTTTAATACTACACTTGAAGAATGATTTTGAATAGATTTGAAATTTTCACTTTATTTTTGAGAGAAAAAGAAAAAAAAATCAATAACGTTCTCAAAAAGTAGCAACCTTTAAAGAAATCACTTTTATCAGTTTCTTCCAAGTGTATGGGCCTTTTGAAGTCCACAATTAGCCCAATTCATAATAAGCCCACGATAAAAAAAAGGGGCAGTACTGAGTCTCAAACGCCATTCTCTCTTTCCATTAATACTAAAATGCTTATATGAATAATTGATACATTTTTTTTATCTTAAATATAATAATAGGGAAGATGGGTCAACCTATCCTCCCTTTGGCCCACCAAAAACGGGACGGTTGGCAAGCTGACCCGTCATATTTTTTATTTTATTTTATTATTTTAAATAAATTCTTTTAATAAATTTAATAATAAAATTATCATTATTAATCATTCAATATATATATATATATATATATATATTTCAAATTAATAATATAAATTAATATATTATTTTAATAAATTATATTTTAGAACAATTAAATTAAGATAAAATTTATATAATAATAAATATATATATATATATACAAGAAAAAAATATGTAATAAATATAAAAGAGAGTAAAAAAGTATGAAATATATATGATTTTTACCTTATGAAGAAGGATGAGCAAGAAGAAGATGATGAGTAAGAGGAGATGATGAGTAAGAGGAGATGACAGAGAAAGAGAAGTTTGTGCTTGAGAAAGGAAAGTGTTCCCGTAATAAGAGTTTAAGTAATTATAATTTTTTTTAATTCTCTTAGTAGTGAGATACTGAGACTTTATGAATTCTCTTTATGAGATACTGAGGCTTTTAGAATTTTATTTTCATAAATATTTATATTATATATTGTCTTTCCGACTCTTTCTATTATATCATAATAAAAAAAAATTATTAGTAAAGCGGGTCGCAGATCGACCTGTCTCGCTCTACCCCGCAAGTTGGTCCGTAAGGTTGACAGGCTTGACGGACTCGGCCAAAACAGCTGAAAGTATTAACCTGTCCTGCCTGGTCTAACCCGTTTTACCATCCCTATATATTACAAATCAATATTAATTCTTTACGTCCTCATTAACCAAAAAAATATGAAGATTAAAAGAGATTGGTGCATTGACCAACTTATCTCGTTTTGGTCCATCGCCTCCGGTCAAACTTAGTCCCTTCGACCCCTTTTATCATTCTATAATCGAGGTTTAAAATTTAATGTGAAACATTTAAAATATCATTGGCTTCAATTATATATAGTCATGAGCTAACTTTAATAAATGTGAAATTTAAAAAAGAAACTAAAAAAAGAAAAATATATAAATAATGAAATATGAGAAAAAAATTAAATTAATTCTTAAAAATATAATATTGATATTGATTATTTATAATAAAAAATAACAAATATTGAGAAACATTCTTCTTTATTTTTTTTATGTCTAATCATATAAGTATATTTTAAAATATATATAAGAAGAAAATATCATATATAAGAAGAAAATATCTCTTTTTTTGTTGTCTTCCTCTCCTCTCTACCTTTACCAATAATAATATATTATATATAATCTTATCTCTTTTAATTCACTCAAAACATTCATATTAATTTAATAAAAAAATAAGTGTATTAATGAATGTATTTTATTAATAATATTACTATACTTTATATATTTAATATATTATTTTAATTAATTATTAAATATTAATATATTTTTCATAAAAAGGAAATAATTATTTTTCTATTTAAATTGTTGTCTAAATTATATTTTTTTAACTAATTATTTATTTATTTTTTTAAGAATGATAAATTAGAGTAAATATAAAATTTTATTATGAAGAAATTAGTTCAACTAGAAAGAATTTTCGTCATTGTAAGAAAGTCAAACTTATTCTTCAAAAATTGTCGAAGCGAGATAAAACATTTTGCTAAACGAAAGTGTTATTCTTAGAGCAATTAACTTAATTGATCGTTGAGTGAAACAAAGCGTCATCAAGCTGAATATGTCATCTATAGAAACTCAATTCAAGCTTTAATGTATATATATATATATATATATATATATATATATATATATATATATATATATATATATATATATATATATATATATATATATATATATATATATATAGGCTTTTTGAATGGGTCTTATTTGTTTCGTGCAAGTTTGTTGTTGTATAAATAGGTTATAGAATGTCAAAAGACATAACTTAGGTTTCATTTTCAAAATTTAAAATCTTAGAACTAGTTTCTATCCATTGTGATATTTATCTTCCAAATCCAATTTTCAATATTCTTGTATGAATGATTTCTTCAAGTTTATCAATTCAATATGTTTTGGATGATATTTGTCTTTTATTCCTTGACATCTTTTGTTTAATTTTCGTTTTACACTTTCTACATCCACTATTACTCGTGTTTCTTCATATTTTCGTTTTTCTACTTTTGTTCTTCATATCACAAAGTCAAAAGGCATAAACTTGTATTTATAATGTCCTTAATGAGTGTGGATTTGGGAATATCCTCTAGAGTTATACAAATTTGATGATAATCTTGAGTCAAGTCGAGCTTGGTGAACCAACTTGCACTACTAAAGTCATCTAAGAGCTCATCAAGAAAACTGTCATTGATGGTAATGGTGTTCAATGCATAAAATTCAACACAAAATTGCTACATGTCATCCTTCTTGTGGATGAGAAGGATAAGGATGAAAATGAATTGGAACTAGGTTGGATGATGCCTAGGAGAAACATCTTGAATACCTAACATCCAATTTCTTGCTTCTAAGAGTATGCATATTAGTAAGACTTCAGGAACACTATTGAGTTAAAGTTATAAGGTATGATCCATGGAATGGAAAAGGGAAAGGCTAGTACAAGGTTGGAAAAGAGACATATAGTGGTCCAGTAGTGATTGGAGGATAATAAGGATCTCATATGTGGTGTTGGGAAGGAGTTGTATACAATAATAAGCAAACTCACAAAAGTAAAGATGAGATGTTTAACTTGATAAAGAGAAGCTCAATTGGGTTAAATTGGTGAAAACCGTGAAGGGTAATGCACTAGGGGCCTAAACAAAGTTGCTTAGTTAAGAAGGAATAATTGATCACAATTGGGCCAACTGTTTTTAGCTAATACATCCCTAAAATGAGATATGCACCCATGAGAGACATCACCACAAGGTCTACAACAAAATCATGACCTTGAATAGTAAGTGTAATATCCTTACAAATATGATTGCATTGAATTTCTTGGCCATTGGCAACCAAAACATGCAAGGGTGAAGTGGGTTCAGTTGATAAGTGAAGGAAGCGAGTCATAGAAACTTGAACAAAGTTGTGGGTATGATGTGAACATGACCTATGATAAGGGCTAGAGCAAGGGAAACAAAGGAAGCTCTTCAACAAGTATTGTTGGTTGACCAAATTGTGTTTTGGATTAATCAATTAATGGACTTTAGTTTGATTTTGTTTTAAGTTGTAATAAGGGCCCAATTGAAAATTTAGTCAATCAGCTATGCACCCCTTGGTCTCCCAAAGGCTGATGACTAAATTTTCAATTGGGCCCTTATTACAACTTAAAACAAAATCAAACTAAAGTCCATTAATTGATTAATCCAAAACACAATTTGGTCAACCAACAATACTTGTTGAAGAGCTTCATTTGTTTCCCTTGCTCTAGCCCTTATCATAGGTCATGTTCACATCAGGGTACTTCTCCATGAATGAGGACAAAGACATGGTGATCCTTGATGGTAATTAAAACATGAAGGATTTGAAGAATA